AAACAAATGCATTTAATACAAATACATCAAACAAATGCTTTCAACCTTAATCAAGGCCTGCATCAGGTTTGTGAACCAACTGAATTCCAAAATTGGAACGTGTAGAACTGAATATTTTTGAAACATTAATTTTAAACATTTGGAACATATAACACATACAGAAATTTGGTGGAAATTATGTGCATTCAAAATATATATAAAAAAGCTAACAGGTATGCACATATTATTTTAGAATCGAGCCTAATAGCAAATAATAAAAAGTCAATTTGTGTTAGCGCTGCCAGGTTTCTCATACAAGTATCACCAAGCATACGATATTGTTCTACTGTCCTTAAAATTGATGTACAGTACTTGCCTTGCCCATCAGGACAGCCTTATATATTTCTAGGCCCTACAAGGCCTTAATATGATTGATTTGGAAGGACTGCCTTATTAGCCTGGTGTTAAGACTTTTTATTATTTGCTATTAGGCTAGATTCTAAAATAATATGTTTGTATTGTATAATAATTATATACATTATATAATAATTAGTACATTATATAATAATTATATTTACATTCTTTAAAAATGGAATGATATGAGGTGATTCTGTGCCAACTGGGACCAGTAGTCCCCATCTGACCATCTCCAATTTTGCTCAAATTTGATACGGAGTTGCTTCAAGTTTGCAATACCAAGATAGAAAAATTCAGTCTTTCATAAAAAAAGTGTGCTATTTCAATTGAAGGTTGACTTTATTGGTGAAACTGTTTTTGAAGATATGAGTTATATAAATGGCCTAAATTTAGTATAAGTTTTTTAAAACAAATTGACCTTGAAATATCTCAAAAGCAAGGCAATCAGAAAAGCTCAAATTTCTAGCCTTAAATGATAACCACTTCAACAGTTTCACAAAAGAAGAGCTTTCTAATAGGCCCTGAACATGATACATTTTTAGAATGAAAATTGATTGTTGATAAAAGTTACATATGCAATTTGCCATCATGTTTAAAAACTATAAGATACTAAGTACAACTTAGATCTAGATAAAAACAACCTATTGTTTATATGTGGGCATTGCAATTCCACAATCATACTTGTTGTACACACGTGCTTTTGACTCAGATTCAAAAAGAAAATCAGTGATTACTTCAGTGTGTTTAATTGCTGAAGAAAGTGAAAGGATTAAGAATATAGATAAATAGGGATCTCGTTAAGTTTTTCAAATCTCTATTTTTCAAGATTTCAAGTTTTTCAAGATTTTTGCTAATGTTGTCTTGAAAACTAGCAAAACAAGTAATGTAAAAAAATGTTTTCAACATAATAAAAATTCTAGATTTTATTTTGATATCAGCCAGTGCAAAATTAGAAATGCTATAATCCTGTAACTTACTCATAGTTATACTAAGGTCACAATTGATAATGTCTATTTTTTTGGCACCATAGAGTAAAGGCAGCTTGGAAATCAAATTCTTTTCGAGGTGGACCATTGATTGATATATTCATCACATTGCTAACATTTATTACATCTAACCTATTGCATATTGGGATTTTAATCAAATTCATTTCACTAAAACTATGCTCACAGTCAACAGTATGTACTGAAATTACAAGGGCATATTCTAAAATGAGGAACATAAGAGGAAAATCAGAAACTAAGTCATTTGTGACCATTGATTGGTGGACACCTGAGAGAGAGATTCTTGCACCTGCTGATAAGTATTCTTTTAAACATGCTCCATTCCACAAACAGCTTGATCTTCTCTACATTTAGCTGTGACTGCAAAAAAGTATGAAGCTGTAATATTTCTTTTTCTCCAAAGACATAAAAACTTTCTGAGTTTGTACTGGGAATGTTTCTGAGTATCAAGACTGTAAATATTTTACGAGTTTCTGTGAATTGGAAGTTTCACATCTTTATGCGAATTGACAACCCAATATCTTCGATTCCCATAAAGACATGAAATGAAATTTTGAATTCACATTGTAATGTGTAAGGAAAAGATTTCTTTATTTCTGAAAGGAAAGTTCTAAAATTTTTATACAACAGTAACTTTTATTTTGCTTTTTAGAGAATCTTTACTCTGCAATTTTATAAGTTTTGATGTTCTACTATATGTTCAATATTTATTTTTAATTTTCAGTTACTGTATTTATAATTATTATTGAAAAATTAAATTACACAAATTTTTAATAAGTAGTTTATTGTAAAATATAGTACTATATAATAAAATCGTAACTGATATTTTGTTATTATATATTGACAGTATTTGTCTTAACTACAAATAAAATTTAGTATTGTAAAACTAATCTTATTTTATATCAAACACTTGCTAATGAAAGGATACAGAATAGAGATCCTGTAGCATGTATAATCTGTTTAGTAAAAGCCCAGAATTTTTAGTACTTGGTTATATCATGCCACAGGATATATTGCACTTTTGCTTTGTCTCCCAACAAGCACAATATAATAAGGGGCTGTTGTATTAAAGCATTTTTGAAGTAATTCTGAAATGTACAAAAAGATATCACTGTACAAGAAACTATTGCATTTGTCTAAGTGCAAAATTTTTCATCACTTTTTCATGACTTTGTAGACAAAAGTTGTAGCTAAATTACATCACTTGTTGCAAAAATGCAAAGAAACTACCAGTAGCAAGATCCCTAGATATAGATTTGATTGATTTGGATGCAGCTATAGTTTGCTTTTATTTTTTCTTTTCACATCATGTTTGATGTGAATCAATATTAAATTAGACTATGATATGTGCAACTATAGTCACATTCAACCCTCACAATAGAAACTAGAGGAAAACTTCTCTGAGACAAAATTTTATCAAAAGTTGCATTGTACTGTACATTGTGTTAAATTGTTGCATTGATGTATGTAATGTGTATTATTGCAACTTTGATAAAATTGTACCATGTTTAGCTAGGTAGAATGGTTTCTCCAGGAGATACAGCTGTTCAAACGTTGAAATTTTTTTTGTCACAACAAATTTTGTTTCAAATTTGAGTGCAACTGATAAGAAGAATAATTCAGCTGTTTCCTTAAAATTTTAAGATTTTGAATTATCCTAACTACTGAGATATTTTTGTAAAAACTGGTAGTTATTGAACTGCAGGATGTCAAAAATGCAAAAAGTTTTAAATGGCCTTTGCAACATTTTGATCATCTCCATATAAGGATTGTAGGATCTCCATATAAGGAGTTCCTACAATCTAGATATTGCATATTCACCACAATGTCTTAAATTGAGTTTCATAATCTGAGATTTCAAGCTGATAACTCTAGATTAATGTTTTCTATTCACCAACGCAGTCTAACACTGGATTATGAAAACCTCAAATTGAAGTGACGAGCTGTTATAAGCTCTCAGATTTGTCTGAATACTTCATAATGAGTCCATGCAAATTGTCATGTTTAAACTAAACACATGATTTTAAAGTTTAGTAAACAATAAACACCAATGGTAATTTAGCTAATTTCAGTTTGAGATAGAAGTATTATTAGAATTAGATGTAAATCATAAAAATGTATTAGAAAATAAAAACAAGTGCAGTAACAAATATAAAGACAAAAGATACCAGTTACCAAGAAATAACATCACTAGACCCAATATACTATAAAGCTAGACTCCAACCAATGCCGAATTCCATTAGGATAGAATCTAGCCCGATAGAATTTGGCATTGGTTAGAGTGTATGTACCAGGAAATTAAACAATTGTCAAAAATTTAAAAAATAACTAAAGTAAATAAAGATTAAGTGGAAAAGAAAGAGTAGAAATATTTTTAAATTGGAAGTCCTGTGATTATGTAATTGGTTATGTAAATTGATTGCTTATTTATCACCCATAGCATCATTGCTTATTTTTCACTTGTAAGAGCAAAAATCACCATAAAATTGAATATGTCTCTCTTGTTTTATGAATAATTCAAATAGTGCATACCTTAGTTAATCTGTAATTCGAGAATTAACTTGCAGATAGTGGCAAGTTAAATCACAGTTCAGATTTAACAGTAAAATCTAGAATTAATGTGTAGTAAATGCTGAAAATGCTGATTTTAACTGAACTCATGACTTAAATCTTACTTTAGATTTAACTCTAGGTGGTGACGAATATTGTTGTAAGATTTTGCAAAACTTGAGCAGTTGAAGCAGCTACTCACTAAATTTGAGCAAAATTGGAGATGATTAGATGAAGATTATCTCTAAAGCTAGATCACTGCATGGAATCATTCTTTGAACTTTCAACTGTGTCTAAGAAGAGAGCTTCAGTCATTGAACCATATTGCTAATGATTGACTAATTGAATTCCCATAGATAAACAGTTGATCAACCTTATTGAAATCAGATTTTATTTCATACTTTTCTCTTGCTGAGAGAGATGTATATATTATATGCTACATGCTTAGTCATATGAAAAGTAGTTTTCTGAAATTCTGATTTTCAAAAAAATATAGTTTATATTTGAAAAGATAGAGAAACTTGAAGAAATAAAAAAATAACAAATGATCATGCACCATAATTTTTATTGTTAAAAGTATTTTTGTTAGTATAATAAGAATATGGCTGTTATGCACTTTTTTTAGTTATGTTGTAAAATCTTTTATCTCTATTTCTAGATATGTTAACAGTGATTATTATTGTTAATATTGCTGGATTAGTCTTTGTGACTTATGATAGTATGATGTAAAGAGAACTTTTAAAAAATTTAAATCACAATCTTAAATCTCAATCTTTTGAAAAGTTCTCTTTACAGCTTAGTAGCTGTAAAGAGAACTTTTATAATCTTTGGAATATTATATTTTTTAACTTAGAGGTTTAAAAGAATTGAATTTGTTACAAAAAATTGTGAAAGAGAACTATAAATTCATTTTGATAGTATTTTCAACATTTAAAAAAGTTTAAAAAATATGCATTTTAATTTTATATACTGTAATTAAAAAATTTTAAAGTAATAATATCATTTTAATGAAAATAAAGTTTTTAATATATTTTATTTTCTGGTTTCTAGAAATAAAAGCCATGTTTGGAAATAACAAACCATTTGGTACAAGCTCAGCGTTTGGGACAAGTAAGTCAAAAGTTTTAAACACTTTTTCAGTATAAATATTGATATATTTTAATACGGTTTTATTGTTAGGTACATTTGGAACAACGACGACACCATTTGGACAAAGTAAGTTTGACATCTTTAAAAGCAGTATATAGTTATTAATCAAAAATAATTACTATATAATTTCTATTCTAACATTTTATTTCTGTTTTTATTCTTTAAATTTCTATATTCAACAAAAATAGGGTTTCTAAATTCTTTTGTATATAAACAAATGAGTAGCAATTTCCTATTTTGAAAGATGAGATAACATAAAAGAATATTGTAAGGGGAAATAGTAAATATGATTATTTAAAACTTTTAGATGTTGACATTTTTTTTATTTTTATTTCATTAAAATGCAAATTTTTATGTAAAGTTGAATTTGACTAAAAGACATAATTTAATAGATGTTGTTTTGTTGTTGCTTGCCTTGACAAATGTAAATTATTCTTAATATATCTATTTGTATCATTTATGGAATTGAGGTTAATTTTAGAAGAGAATTTAATCATTTCTGTTAAATATTTAAAATTACAAATATAAACATTTTTTAAAGAATATTTATTTAAAAAGGTTTTTGTAAGAAATAATTGTGATTTATGTAAACAGAAGTGAAAAAAACTTTAACGGATAAAAATTCTTATTTATTTCACATTAACATTTCAAAGTTGGGAAATTTAGTATTCTTATATTCTTAAAAGTTTCTAAAGTAACTTTTAGAAAACTTTTATGGTGATCAAATTTAGGATTTCATATCTTTTGAAGATGAAGTCTCTCAGCTTTGATAATGTGGATGCAAAATAAATATTTATTAATTTATTAAATTATATTTTGTTTCTGTTTGTTTGTTTATATTCTCACAAAATTAAATACCATATTATAATTTATTCATTGTAAGTTAATTTGCATTGAAAATCACTCGTATACTGGATGATTGCAATTAAATTATCCCTAGTAATCTCTGCCTACAGAGATTTTTATTAGTCCAAATGAAACCAAGTTTGGTGTGATGACATTTCAGGACATGCAGAAGATGTGTCAATTAAAAAAAATGCTACTGAAATCCACTACTATGGGACTTTTAGCATTGTAAGCAGTGTAAAAACAGTTTTATTTGTGGAAATACTTAAAAAATGTGGTCTATCAAGGACATGTTGCAAACTTTGCAGCCTTGAAAGATTGTATCATATATTGCAATAGCTCTACCTGTTCATGTGCAGACATGAACAGGTAGGGCTATTGCAAGGGAAGCTGAAAATTTTTCTCTGGATTCAGAGAAGACTTAGAATCCATAGTGGTTTCTATCCCTATAAATTAATGTTACTTTTACTGTTGAAAAATAGTCTTTAAGACTTCTATTTATTAATAAAGAAACATTCTATGTACAGGTAACCCCCGTATAACACAGTAGTTACGTTCCAAAAAATTGCCGTGTTATGCGAATCCGTGTTATACGAAACAAAGAACTAATACGAAAAGGAGGGTTAGGTTCCAAAAATTAAAAAACATGCTAGTATATTTTCATAATTAAGATAAATATCTTCATTAAAATTTTTTTAAGTGATACATATTAATATAAATTAAACAATGTTTTCTTCGTCATCACTAAAAACACTATTAATTAACCGAGAGCGTTTTCTTTTTGGCAAGTTATCCTTATCCTCTGAGCATTTTTCTGCATTATCTTCAGATCCATGCTTTACCTTTTGCAAAATGTATGTAATTTTAGATTGCTTGCTTCTAGTTAAAAGGTCTTTATAAATTTCCTTATATGGTGCTAAGCACTTATGAAGAATAAAGCAAGTATGGAATAAGGGAAAAACATTCGGCAACATCAGAAGCAGAAGCGTCGCGATCTGGCAACATTGAAACAAGTTTCGAGAAGGACCACGTGTATCGACAGAAGGCGAGAAGAGAAAATTTACATACTTAAGTACTAATAGTTCACGAAAATAATAATTTTCGTGAACTATTATTACTTAAGTATGTAAAAATTTATTACATTTCCTGTTGTACAAGGGTTTTACCCAATTCTCGAACCGTGTCAGAGTGAATCCGTGCTATAAAAGTACCGTGTTATACGGGGGATGGTATCAATTCTCGAACCGTGTTAGAGCGAATCCGTGCTATAGAAGTGCCGTGTTATACGGGGGTTACCTGTATTTCATTTATTCAAAAAAAAAAAAAAAGGCAAAATGGCCTGCTCTGTCCTTGGGCCCAATATCAAGCTTTCAATGATCCTATATATGAGAAGTATTACAGGAGATCAGTTACTTCTTTAGAATGAGAACCACATTGAAACTTATTGCATCAATAAGTTTCAATTTCAAAGCTATATAATGAGAGCCACATTGAAACTTATTGCATCAATAAGTTTCAATGTGGCTCTCATTATATAGCTTTGAAATTTACTGCATCAATATTTCTGTAAAGCATAAGTGTCTTGTACAAATAACAGGTTTGTTGCTTGCAATGCCCAGAATGCCTTAGTGATGAGTTTTAATGGCAAATTTTTTTACAAAAATGTCTTTCATGTCCTGAAATGTCATCATACCAAGTTTGGTTACATTTGGATGCTAAATCTTTTTCTAGATCTAGACATGATTGAATAGGGATACTTTTAATTATGGAATGTGGATATTTTTTAATTATGATCATCTAGTATTATTAATTTACTAATAGAAAAGCTACAAAAATTAAAAGTGTGTTTTAAATTCTATTATTCAACTTAAATGAAATGGGAGGGAGTGACTTCAAAAATTTTGTTTTACTTTTTAATTTATATATGCAGAGTTGATGGATGTTTGTATTTTCTAATGAAAAAGTTAGGTCTAGTAACATTAAATTTTGACTTGATTGAATCAGAAAGATTATGGCTGCAGGCAATTTGTTGTATAAATTTATTTATTTGATCAACAAAAAAACAATGTCTGTCCCTAGTGTAATATTAACAAAACCCCATAAAATGCATAATAGTAACATTAAACAAAATGATACAAACATACAGTATTACATGTAATATCTAAATTACAATAGATGCATAATGAAAATTTAATAAAGCTACAATATATGATATAACAATACAAATAGAAGGTTGATAAGAGAATAATGTTTGATACAAATAAAATATCAATTAATTCATATAATAATATTTTATAATGTAGTTTAAAATCTCTACATGCAGATACAATCTTACATATATAAAATGACAAATGTGTGACATAGTAAATTTCTTTCATAGCTTTTGTAATTAACTAATTAACTAACTAATCAATTTCAAATTTTTATATTATACTATATAATTTTTATGATATTACTAC